ATGAGTGATAGAGTATTTCTGACAATAAAAGCCGCTATTTCATCAAATCCATGGGAATTGGGATTTTTTAATTTAGAAGATAATAATTCGAATAATTCCTCATTTGTATACGGATAGAGATGCATTTTCAAATGAGCAAAAGAAGTGTTTTCGGTAGATGTAGTATCTGTTTCAGGTATTTTTTGGATAGTATCATACGGAACCTGTTTAAAAAAATTATTAAATAAATTCGCAATAGTTTCAGTATCAGAAATGATCTCCCCGTTATCGGTAGAGAGTGATATATTATTTTGATGATTAACCTTGTTAGATAGTTCTTTTACTATCCCCCAACAAGTTTTGTTCAAGTTATTAGATTTAGAAATTCTGTTTTGATAATGTTGTTTCTTCTTGTTTTCGATAAAATTTCTATGTTTTTGTTTTTCAACTTTGTAGGTCGTTTTCAGTTCTTTCAGTATTTACGCGATAAGATATAAAGATCTTTTAAATTCGAACTGGATTTTTTAACTCCTGAGTCCACCCAGCCTTTATTGTCAGAGGGAACTCTTAGTTTGCGCGTTGGAAAATTTATTTCGAAATGAAATTGAAATGTGCTGAAAAAGCAAGCAAACGCCTCGTCAGTACTACGAATTTTATATACATCCGACCAATTTTCTTGGGCTAATCCATTCAAGAAATTACTCATTTGCCAATCCCTGTATGATCTTCCATGAAAGAATGTTTTATTTTCTTTCACGGCATTATCTGGATTGAGTTCAGCGAAAACAGTCCTGTGGTCTGAGATAACATTATCAAATACACAGGTATTACCTTGTGGAGTGAAGTTTACGAAAACATGATCAATTGAGGTAACAGAAGTATTTGTTACTCGGGTTGGCCATTTGACTAAATCAAAGAGGCCAAATAAGGTACAAATATTGACCAATTTTTTATAGTTCGTATCGTGACTAAGGGAATCAAGGTTGAAGTCCCCGCATAATACTAGTAATGTGTTGGGTTTGTATAAACTTTCTAGGACCTTTTCTAAATTATCGAAAAATACTGACAGGTCCCCAGATGGAGATCTATACAAGCTTAAAATATTCATTACAATGTTTCTTGAAATTGTTACGGATACACCACAGATCTCGAAATCTTTTTCTACACAAAAATTCCCAAAGTCCAGTTTTTTTGATATAATATCGTTTTTTAACCAAATACAAGTACCTCCACGTCGCAAGGTTGGGCGGTTATATATATTAGCTAAGTAAAAACCATTGATGAAATATTTAGAGATAGAGTTTTCATTTCCCCATATTTCGTTCAAACATAAAAACTTCAAATTATCGTACGCCTGTGTATCAATCATAAGGTCGTTCGTTTTTTCCATGTTTAGGCTGCCTACGTTCAAACATAGTAAATCATGTGATTTTGTGTGAGGCAGAAGACTTCAACACATTTGCACTTTGTCTACTTCGGCGATGAAATCTTCCCCACATGGAGTAAAATTGAAGTTGGGTCCAGAGGAACTTCTGTAGAACAATGGATTTGTATTTTTTCCTGCAAAGCAGGACAATCTGGGTATTGTAAAGATGTTGTAGCTGTTCTTTTATATGTCAATTGATTTGCTCGTCATAATAAGTTAAGTAGTATCAATTTATGATCTTCGGTAGTATCAATCGATCGACCTTCCTCCTCTGTCCAGCACCATTCATTTGGAGGAAGCATATTGCCTAACCTCTTCTGAATTCTCGAAAAAAGAAAACGAATGATAGAAGATAGAAAATCCGAGAGGAAATCACAACCTGCATTTCATTTGGTCCTTTTTCTATACCTAAAAGTATACACTCGGAAGAAATATCGTGCCAAAGAGGAAGTTGCTGGCAGCTGCGCAAGATCAAACTTCTTAGTGACTGGAATCCAAGCGTTGATTTTGATATGATTCAATTCTCTGATCAAGACTTCCACCAGTCATTCCTGCATACTGAGCAGATATAAGCGCTCCACCCGATTTTACCAGATCATCAGGGGAAGCATTAGGTAAATGAAATACATGCATACTAACTCACGTAATGCTTCATGGTTTTGCAGTTCCCTGAACGGTTTTATTTTTCCAATATTGTGGATGGCACTAGTAGAGTCGCATCCTGTGGCTGCATGAAGAAAAAGGATATGATTTGTCCCAAAATGTTTCTCGGCACACCTTGCTTTATTACAGTTTGAAGGGTTAGAGTAATCAGGAGAGCAACAGACCAATAACGACAAAAAGGGATCCAACCTAGATGTTGATGATCCACTAGCTTCTCACAAAATAAGTAGTTCATAATCTCCGACCTCGAAAACTCTCAGATACCAATTTTGAATGACATCGGATCATAGTTACAAAACTCATCCGCCATATTGAATCCACCATCATGAATTTCCAAATTTTGAAGGGAATCGGATCAAAATTACAATACTCATATGCCATATCAGATCCACCATCTTGAACTTCCTGATTTCGGCTACGGAACCATTATCTCCGACCCCGAAAACCCCCAGGGCCCAGATACCAATTTTGAATGGCATCGGACCATAGTTACAAAACTCGTTCGCCATATTTTATCCGCCATCTTGAATTCACAAATTTTGAAGAGAATCGGATCATAATTACAATACTCCTCCGCCATATCGGATCCACCATCTTGAATTTCTTGATTTCGATTGAGGAATCATAATCTCCGACCCCGAAAACCCCCAGATACCAATTTTGAATGGCATCGGACCATAGTTACAAAACTCGTTCGCCATATTGTATCCGCTATCTTTAATTTCCAAATTTTGAAGAGAATCGGATCATAATTACTATACTCCTATGCCATATCGGATCCACCATCTTGAATTTCCTGATTTCGACTAAGGAATCATAATCTACGACCCCGAAAACCCCCAGAAACCAATTTTGAATGGCATCGGACCATAGTTACAAAACTCGTTTGCCATATTGTATCCGCTATCGTTAATTTCCAAATTTTGACGAAAGATTTATAACTTCCGACCCGCAAAACGAAATATCAATGTCATTTTACCTATAAACGTTCAAGAAAATCCAGTGTAATTTCATGCGTCTTCCTCCTAGGAGGAGGACAAAATTTCCGGTAAGTTGTTCAGTTCCTATGGAAACGATACAAATTACAGGCTTCTAATTTGTCGAAAATGTTAGGTGTGAAATTTCCATACCAATCGGTCAAGCCATTTCGGACGTGTTTGGCAACAAACATCGTGACATAATTGTTGTTTCCTAAACCTAGTATATATAGTTTTTTTCGAGGTTCATTATGTCAAACATCTTAGAAAAATCCATTTTTCGTCAAGCACAAGCGCTGTGAGTTTCAATGACTTCTGCGATATGTAAGGAATAACAGTTGAAAGATGCGGAATATATTGGTAGAGTATATTTTTAGATCGTGTTCAAGAATTTCTGCTCATGTAGAACACGACATTTTATTTATGACAGTCATTTCAGAGACACTCAGTATAGCTAGAGTGGAAGCGCTGAATATAATCGAAGTATTCAATTTACAGTTTTATATCGGCAATCTACATAATATCGAGATACTGCTTAGATTAGTGCACTTAAAATTCTTTAACAGTGCAATTCTCATCAAAATCGTCGACAAATGTCTCCCATTATACAGATGGTGATCCAAAATTGGTTGAAACTATTTTATGTAACGTTTTTCTTCAAAACCTTGGTGACAGTAGCGTATCAAGGAATAAATAGAAATATTCAGTGATGAACTGATTTTTTCTATACTGAATTTAAAATTATTGACTTTCAAACATATCATAACTATTCGTGGAATTTAAAAGTTGTGAAAAAGAGAGCGTTCTAAAGGTCGGGACACAATGTGGAGGAATAGAGAATAAGGAATAAAAATAAGAAATGCAGGTCTGTTATTGGTCAATTCTAACCTTGAATGTGTTTTAAACCTATCATAGTGCTATTCCTTATTCCTAATCCTTATTTTTTTGTATTGTGTTCGGACCTTAATGTCGCGGTGAATAGGAATGTCGAAATTTGATTGAACTAAGACAGCCTCATACCAACTGAAGACTTCTCAAGATGAGAAATTCACTGTCCACAAGAATTATTTCTGAAAATAAAGTTCGTGAATATGGCTCTTTAGGATATCATCATCATGATACCCTTAAGGAATATAATTTCAATTCAATCGAACAGAATTATGAGTTCCATTATTATCCAGCGAAGGCAACTATATTATAAGCCTTTTCTCAAGATGAGAAGAAAAGTCATTTAACATAGAACTGATTCAATATCTTGAAAGGGCTCAGGAATCATAGAATTTCTACAATATGGCTTCCCCTTTTCTATAGACGTTACGAAAATATGTATGGCAAGCTTCAATGGAAAACATGGAGAATCTTCATTTGTGGAGTCGAATTAATGGGGGACTTCGTTCCAAGTTGCCAACTTCAAGAATGTACCAATGATGTCTACCACTGAGGAATGTGAATTTCCGAATGATTCTGGTAGCAAAAGGTTCGTTATGTTATGAAATGTTGTAAAAAATCTTCCGGGCTCATACGATTCCTTAGAGTTTACAAAAATTCACATTTTGGAAACGTGGCTTCTGATTGGTTGGTAATTATGTTGGCATTGCTGTCAAATGTCAAAATTGTCAAATTGAACAAAGACAAAAGACACAAAACAGACAACGCCACACGCCACGCCATCTTCTATTACTTTGTTGTGCTTTGTTTGATTATTTGTTGTTGATTTTTTAATATGTGCTTTTGAACCTTTTTGAACGTGTTTTTGTATTAATTTCAAGCTTGTTTTGATTTTGACTTATTCGTCGTTTCATTTTCAATTGTTTACATATATTCCTTATTTGTTTGGAGCATATTGAAGTAAGTAGAAAATTCTTTGGTAGAACTACACAACTTTCATTCACAACTATTAACTATTTCTACAAATGGCATTGCTTATGAAAGGTACTTATTTGTTTCTTTTATAGTTATATCCAATGACTTCCTCACGCCCTGAAGACGTTCCAGGTGCAATCTTGAGGCATCCGGAATCACTAGAAAACCACTCTGTCCTGGAATTACAGCGTTGGCTGGAATGTAGAGGACTGAAGAAAGTTGGATCCAAAGTAGAACTGATTGCAAGGTAGATTACTATCATACTATTATTGGACTTCTCATCTTATCAATTTCTTCATTTTTAACCTATCTGCTTGCCTTCTGATTTGATTCGTGGTCTCATTTTTATTTGGAAAGCATATAATATTGTTATTGGTTATTTGAAGATATTCATTTTTCAATTTTCAGAATACAAAATTGTATCAAGGCTGGGAATGGAGACAGAATTTTTCTTGGTGTAGATCAAGGTAAATGGTATGATGCTAAGGCTAGAATTCTACAACAAGCATCAACTTCTAGTAGCAGCTCATTGTGCAATCCCCTTCTTGATGCAATTGTGTGGGGACATTTTCCTAGCCATGACTTGCCTAAGTATTTCAACAAAGGGCATATATATACTTACATTGTTGGAAATAATGTTGAGAATGAAGATCCAGAAATGCAAGATATTTCAGAAAATAATACTGTTACAACTGTGAAACCCTTCAGAAAAGGTCATCAGTTTGTTGATAGTGACCACATAAGTTGTGTTGAAGATGGTCTACAAGACAATTTTTATGTGTGCAGATGCAAGTGTCTCTCATCATTTCAAAAAACCTTACAGTATAAAGTGAAAGTGATTTTGAATAATACATCTGGGGCTGTAATAAATGGATTCTGTGAATGTAAACAATCAGCATTAGGTAAATGCAGCCATGTGACAGCTTTCTTGCTTTTTATCTGGCAATATGTTGAGAAGTTTGGACATGTGCAAAAATCTTCAACAAGTCTGCCACGTCAGTGGGGCTTAGGAACCATGAAACGGAATCCAGCCACAGTAAAATCCACTAAATATAACATAAAGAGATTCAAACCCCTGGATAGGGCCCAGTATGATCCAAGACCCACTGGTTATACCAAAGAATTTGATATCAATAGCTTTGTAACTGATTTGCAGCGAGTTGGGAATAATTCAATGTTCCAATCAATATTCCATCTAGAATATATGGATTTTGAATATTCAGAAAGTGAACTGAATGTGCTTAAAATTCAAACCCAACAATTCCTGCACAATTTCACAAAGTACATGAAGACTTTTGGCATTGCTCATGGTACCAATAAATTATTTGAAGTTCCTAATACTTCTCCTCAAGGAAATGATGAGTGGTTGAAATGGAGATCCTACTTTATAACCTCTTCCAATGCAAAAGTTGTTGCTACTCAATTAAAAAGTCAGTCAGCAAAGAAAACTTTTTTTTGAAAAATTTATGGATGGTAAATAAACCTATTACCACTGCAGCAATGCTATATGGAAAAAAAAACGAAGCTGTGGCAAGACAAAAATATATGAATATATTTTTAGAAGAAAATCAAAAGTTGATTGAAACTGGTCTGATGTACAATGTGGAATATCCTTATTTTGCAACAAGTCCAGATGGGGTGGTTATGGATGGTGATCAAATTGATCATATTATAGAAATAAAATGTCCAAAAGTATTGGAAAACTGTAAGAGTGTACTCAACTTTGACACTCATTTAACAAAAAGTCAAATGAACAACTTTTTTCTAGAGAAGATAGGTGACAAAATATTCATAAAAAAAATCATCCCTACCTGTTCCAGATTATTATGTCTCTCATAGTTTTTGATATTGAGGTATGCATTTTAGTTGTTTGGTGTCCAGCAAATATGTTAGCAATTCCAATAAATAAAAGTGATCATCTAGAAATTGTCAATGTGATAAAAACAGAAGCAAACAAATTTCATTGTAATTATTATGTACCTGAGATGTTTGCCATGAAAACTGTCAGAGATTTACCTCCTATCAATCTTGGCTTTTGTATGTAGTTTTTAAGGAACATATTTCAAAAAATAGCATATCATTATTGTGCAACTCATGAATTTTTCTATTGAACTAAATGTTATTACCTTAGGCATATGTATTACTATTTATTTAATATTGAAGTAAAACTTTGAATGGATTGATTATAACTTTGAGTTTATTTTATTATTGAACATGTAAAAATAATATCCACTAAAATTAAGAAACCAAACAGTTTTCAAAGTTTACCAGGAATGTAACAACACTAAAAATATTGGATATAATAGGAATTAGGAGAATAGGGCATTTTTTGGAAAGGATCCTATAACATTTGATTCTACAGATGGCTCTTTCCACATGAACTCTGGCTTTGGCAATCTTTTTTGTTAGTAGTTCTTCTTCCTTTGTCAATCTTGGTCTTCGCATGAGTAGTGGAGGTGTGTAGAGTTTAATTTTTAATTCATTACAAATATCTTGTATTAAAAATCCTCTATCAGCCATGAGAACGTCATCATTCTCTAGGAAGTTTCTAATGTCAGATTTTTCAAAAAGATCTTTATCTGAAATAGATCCTTCATACCCTTCACTGGTGTATATTATTGCTCCAGATGGACAAATTCCTACTAGAAACTTTATTGTGTTGGAGTGTTTGTAGCTTGAAAAAGTATTACCCTGTTGCTGATAATTGGATGGCATTTGTAGCATAATTTCTGTTGCATCAATAATTATAGAGATTGAATTCACTTCAAAATTTCTGAAACAATAGGGAATATTTCTGATACCTCTTCCACCTCTGAATAAATCCATTTTAATGCTATTTGTTTGGTAAAACATGAATTGTACCCAAGTATAAAATATCATAGAAATGTGACTAGCACTTATATTTGTCAGATGAGACATTTCATCAAGAGTGAACCCTCTTCGTAGTCTGATTAAAGTTAGACACAGTCTATCCTTATCTGTTAATTTACATTTATTCCTATTATATCTGAATTTCTTTTTCGAATATCTTTGAGGATATTGTAGTTTTTCCATTACTGAAGGATCCAAAAAATTGTATAGAGCTTCAAACTGTAATAAATTGAATCCAGTCAAATATTTGAACTTCTTGTCATTCTGACTTAATATTTTAAAGGAAAAGATATTTGAGTTGTTCTTATCAACTTTTTGGGTTTGGGTAGAAGCATCTGCTTTAGTATTTCCTAATATATTTCCTACATAATCATGTTCATGAAATGGAATATCTTGTTCCATATCAGGATCACTAAGAGCACCATCAGCTTGGTATTCCAGCTGTGTTACAATATCTTCTTCCACAGTGGTATCAAAATTTGGTGTGGGTGAAAATGGAATAGGATCTGAGCTATTAGTTACTCTTCCACAAAAATGCTTGCTACAGATATAAGTATTCTTATCTATTTTGTCTGGACTTAAGTTTTCATTTCCACAAAGTTCTATCCACTTTAAACAACGCAACCAGTTGGTTTTTCTCTTTGGAAATGGGTGGAACTTGACAGTTTTATTTTTTCTTGAATCACTTTTACAATGTTTGTAAGAGCATCGAGTCATTTTGATTTTGTATAAAGATATCAATATCAATAGATATATATATATATATACAATGATATACATATAATGAATTATTTCGAAGTTGAGTTGGGCTTAACCAGGATAAAACCAAATTTCCCGCGTCTTCCCTGTTTTGTGAGCATTTGACATATTTGACATTCATTTTTATGAAGAAAATGTGTGACCAACATAATTATAAGCCAATCAGAAGCAACATATTGAAAATATCAATTTTTGTGAATACCATTGAGTTGTATGAGCTGGGAAGAATTTTCACATCGTTTTATGTCATGAGCAATGTTTTGGTACGAAAATCATCCTGAAATTCCTTTTCCTCAGTGGTAGACATAATTATGTCATTTTTCGAAGTAGGCAACTTGGAACGAAGTCCCCCATTGAAAGCAGACTCTCTCGTCACTATAAGAACTTCTTCACAATCTCCCATCTTCATGCTGTTCACCAAAGAGATGACTCTCTATAATTTTGAGCAGAGTATCATCTAATACAAGAGATACTTCAATTCTGGTGCACAAGGATTAGCACCTACTACATCCATAGTTTTGCGGATAATAGCTCTCTCCATACTATACGTTTTTCCCAGACTTTTCATTTCATCCCAAGAAAGTAGAAACTCACGAGGGAGCAAGTTAACGTCATTGAAAGTCTTTCTCACGTTTCAGCTGAGGGAACTTACAACCTGAATGAATTCAATGTCACCAAAAAAAAAACTCAAATCAAATTTTCTCTAAAAAGTCGAACCCAGCATCTTCAATATGACAATGACTAAAGAAATTACCATTCCTATACGAATCCAACAATATCTATGCTCGTTTTCATTATCAGTAAATATCTTTCAGAAAAAAACCATGCCGAATCGCAAAATCTATACTTCTTAAAAATTTTACTCTCAATTTCGTGCGAAAAGCTATGAGTACAGGGTGTTTCCGAAATTAGAAATAAAAAAGCTATGACCATTTGTATAAGTCAACATTAGCAGTTCATTATGAATCACCCTGTAGTATAAATCTCAATCAAGACTTCATTAAAGCGATATTCGAAGTATCATCAGAGCGCGTGCATTATTCGAGATGAAAATTTCGAAAACGAAGATCAGCAGGCATTTTAGGTAGGTATGTGTATCATTATTTTTCGAAATATTTCTATAATTAACTTCGCAACGCCGCAAAACTATTGCAAAAATGAGACATGTTGTGTAGACAAGATAACGACAAATTAGAATATGTGAGAAAATATAGGGTGTTCCATTGAGGAAAATCGTAATTCATGTAGCTCCGCTTTCACAAAACATCATGTAGGTATGTAGGGAACAAAATAGTTTTTAGAAGTAGACTTTACATCTCTGTTTATTGCCCTCCGGTTGTCTCGGTATGTTCATGATTGTACGAATTCCGCAAAATTTATGCGAATCGCAAAATATGAAATTCTCAACAGAATGGGCTTATATCACAAAAAAATTTGTATATCATAATTCGATAGAACTCACCCAAACTAGCTCACCACCGCAAACCGTTTCTTGCTGTGAGCTCCCTACGTTTTATAAAAAATTTCAACTTCAGTGCGATATTCGCAGTCGCCATTGTATTCGCATAAATTCTGCGGAATTCTTACATATATGAACATACCTTTTGGCATCTTACTGGAGAAAATGGACACCTTTTTTCTTCCGTAATCATTCACTGTTACTGAATTGGTTGTGTCAAACGTCGCTTTCATCAGAGTCAATTTTGTTAATTATTCACCATCACCTTGTTAGTTGAAATATATAGATCAGTGATGTGAAAGCGTTCAAAGTATAAAAATTCCATATTCACCGTCGACAGAAACAATTATCAGACATGAAACAAGATCAAGTGTGCTCTAATTTTCATGAATGGCTGATAGAGCAAGTAGTCAGTATGATATTATAGATACACACGAATATACCGGGTGGTCCATTTAAGACTATTCACCCTCGATATCTCTCAGAATTATTTTCAAAAAATTTTTTTGACGCAAAATAAATAATCCATACTTGAACCCTCTACTCCCCAGAGCAACCCCCTCAATAATTTGAATAGGGAATAAGGGTCGTGTTATACACCATTGCGAAGGTAATTCAATTCTGAAACTAGCAGTGGGAAGTTTTTTGAATTTCAACAAGTCGCTCTCGAGATATTCGAGTTCGAATGGTATGTTTTTAAATTGTGAGTAAATGAATGTGAATAATAGATTATTGAACAGGTTATCACAAAAAAAATTTTTATCGCTTGGAGCGCACGAAAGGGAATCCCTATAATGTTCAAAGAACATCGTGCGTTCCTAGGGAGGATAGGGACAGGAGGTAGGTATTGGAATGGATGTTCCTTTTGTACGTTTGAGAATGTTCCTCTTGATATTGCCTGGCGTGCAGTTCTTATCTTCTCTCCAAATCATCGAGGTCAGTAGGTTCCGTTTTATAAATTACCGATTTTGAATGACCCCATAGGAAGAAATCATTGGGTGCCAAGTCCGGCAGACGTGCTGTCCATTCTTCTACGGACCTCTATGATGATGGTAATCGAAATCTATTGGCAGATATTTATTTCCAAAAAGATAATGTGTCAACTCATTCCGTATCACAGGTGAGAGAATGGCTACCCCAAAATTTCCCAAACAAATAGATAGGTCGTGAAGGACCATTTAAATGACCAGCACGCTCGCCGGACATGGCACCCAATGATTTTTTTCTTTGGAGTCATTCAAAATCCGTTATTCATAAAACGGAATTTACTATATATGATCTGAACGATAAGTTAAGATGACTCAGGGTTGAAAGTCAGAAAATAACTAGATAAACATTTCAAATGTGCAAAAGGAATTTACGAATGAATTCTTCCACTGATGTCTGGGAGTCAATGAAGGTATTTTGAACATTTATTGTGGATAACCATTCAATAATTCATTCCGTACATTCAATTACTCGCAATTGGAAAACATACCATTTGAACTCGAATATCTCGAAAACGACTTGTTGGAATTCGAAAAACTTTGCACTGCTAGTTTCAAAATTGAATCACCTTAGCAATGATGTATAACACGACCCTTATTTCCTATTCAAATCATTGAGGGGGTTGATCTGGGGAGTAGTGGGTTGAAGTATGGATTATTTATTTCGCGTCGAAGGTGTCCCCCTCCATATAAAAATAGACTTGTTATACGACGCTATACCTATATAGTGGAGTATACTACGGCCTTGCCAAAAATGCTATCTCGGAAACTAAGCGAGATAGAGGTATAGTTACTTTGGAGAAAATGATCCCCATCGAATTTTGAGCAACTGTGTGTGGTCTGTCTGTCTGTACTCTGTGGTAATCCTAAATCGATATATCTCCGGAACCCTTTGACATATCGACTTGAAATTTCGCCATCTTATTGTACTCAAAACAATATCATGTCATTAAAATATGAAGGCAATCGGAAAACTCTAAGGTCGTTTTTCCGCGTTTTTTCGATTTTTCATCGGAAGTTTCTTGAAACCACTCTTCAAATCGCAAAAGTGGTCCGATCGATTTCATTTTTTGTGAAAAAAAACTCTATCAGGGAGAGACGAAGCCTATTGAAA